TAAGGGATGTCCGCGAAATATTGAAAAATTGAATTGTTTTGATAAACATTTCCAAAAACAGGAAGGACTGGTACGCGTTCGAATTCCCGCCGCACATCTGTCAAAAATGTTAGGACGAAACGATTCCACTTCTTTCGGACTCTTTCTTGGCCTTTTCCACCTATCGCAGTAACTTTTCGCTTTTCTAATGCACCCTATTCTTTCGATGATTTTTTCTGTTCCCCAAAGTCATACGCTTCATTCCGATTCCTTTAAACACCGTTAAAGACCGGAGCACGGGCACAGAAGTTCATGGGTACCCGACAGGAGGCCCGTCGCGCGGCAACAAGGCAGAGTCAGCGGACGAGTCGCAGCGCGTACTGTAGTGATTTCGCGTCAAGTTAAATAGAATGTACCATTGTACGTCCTACATCGCACATCACGCGCTGCGACTCGTCCGCTGACTCTGCCTTCTTGCCGCGCGACGGGCCTCCTGTCGGGTACCCGAAATTCATTAATGGGGACCGAGCCTGGACCAATTCATCGTCCACTGACCACTCCAGGGCAGCCCTCCAAAATTCTTCCAGCGTTCGACTCGTCGCTTTCGCGAAAAGGTGACACTACGCGCGCTCCACGCGCCTCACAGGGGAGTGCTACGCTGCGCGTCTCACCGCGAACTTGGTTATGGCGGAACCTATTCAGCCATACTGAGAAATCGCTTCTGAGACATATTCCCGTGAACGCACAATATGCAAACATATTTTGGCAAAATGTCCTCGACTTGCTTTATTTTCTCCAGAAGTAGCAGACTTACTTCCATCTGCGTTCCTTCGCGTCGCACTTGGAGCCACCTTTTCAATGTCGGCTTTAATTCGTTCTATGGCGCTCAAAGACGGCGCCTTCTGAAGCGCTGATGCGTACTCGCTCGACTTTGGAAGCACACCGGCCTGTTTCTCCCGTAGGATGTCGGTGTACCTGCAAATAAGGGAAACTGGCCTAGTGAGAACTGATTGGTTTTGGTCAAAATCTATTGATTGATTAAATTTCTAGGCCTAAAAAGGAAAAAAGAGAATAAGAGAAGAGATAAAGAGAAAGGAGGATAAGGTACCTTCTTCGTTCTCTGACCGTAATATCCTTATTTCTAACGCCAAGGAAACCTTGTTTGACCAGAGGAGCTCCGTCACCGAACAAGTTACGGCGATAGTCGCGCACACGGCTGTTGAACGATGGACCTTGTGTGGCCATCAAGTAGGTGTCGGGACCGATCTGAACAAATTTAGATAATCTCCAGCTTCTATTTTGTTACAACTCAGTAGTATTACTATGAATCATGTCTATATTTTTGTTATGAAGTTGAGGTCTTATAGGTGGAAGCAATTAGCTATATTTAGCGTTCCCAATGCAATAACCGAATAAATTGAAAGAAAAAACTAATAAAACGTTTTCTCTTACAGTTCCCCATAATTTCACCTAATTATGCGCCTCCCTTTACAAACTTACGAATCTCACGACTCGCGCATAGCTATGATATTGCCCACTCTCATGGAGTCGCCCGACCCGACGGAGGCGAGAGACGGAGCTGGATTTGGGATAGGCTGGTAGCTAGCCGGGGTTTCCTAAAAGAGAACGAAGAGACTCCTTTATGTGTTGAAAAGGGGTGTGAGACGATTCCTCCGATGAAATATGGTGGCATGATCTCCAAAGATTCCAAATAGCCAGTGTATTGACTTCTCACGTAGCTTGAAGCAGATAGACTCTCTTCACAAGTGGTTCATTACACGGGAACGCTCCCTCACCCCCTAGAAAGCCACCAGCACGACCCTCTTTCCTTCGTTCTACCCTTGCCTAGCTTAGAGTTGGTCCTGGGTATCGAGCAGCAATGCTTTCGGCACAGTAATAATATAGAGTTTCCGGCGCTATCGCATGATACGGGGCATCCGTTAAATAGGCCGTCGGAGGAGTTTGGAATTTGCCGAGTATCAAATTGTTCGTTACCCTGTGAACCTCTCCTTCTCCGAGCTTAGAACCCGATTTTTAGAAAACGGAGATGCGTTCACGCGGTTCTGGCTCCGCCACCATAATGCCCCGTATTTATGTATATCCTGAATTCTCTAATCCTGAGTGCCCTTCGCGTAACACCGCTCTGCTGCAAACAGCACTTCAACGTATGTAATGCAACTTATTGACCGTAGTGATCGTAAGTTTGACTACATAAGAATCCTTCTCCAGGGAAGAGGTTTGGTGCTTGATCCTGAACCTTTGTTGAGTGGCCAGCAAGAAGAGGGATCGCAAAAAGGTGATATCAAACGCCACGTCGCCCCGAACAGGGGTATCCGGCAAGAGGATCGTCGCGTATTACGCGCTGCGCGATCGTCCACTAACTCGTCCTTTCTTGCCGCTGACGACTCTGTCGCACTCGCTACAGCAGACTGGATAGGGCTTCGGCAATACAGTACGCTCCTACACTGCAACAATCAGCTGTATCTTTTTCAACGAGCTAGAGCGTAACTAGGCGAGCGAGCGCGGAGGAGATTTGTTGAACGCTTGCCTAGGTATTACGATTGAAAGCACATTTGGCTTACTCAATTATTCACCTAACTCAATGTAGAAGCTGTGGTAAGGATCACATTAACAAATTTATTAATCAAAGCACATCTTTGCTACCATAGATTAAATGAGAATCCCACGGCGAATCGTCAATATCGTAGCCGGGACGATCAAAGTCAAGGTCATCTTTGTAGATGTTTTTCGGGCGGTATCGGTCCAATTGTTCCCTGTCAGCCTGAATGAAGCCTCAAAGATTTCTCTCCAAGAAAATAATAGGTTAGTAAATGAAGAACTCGGTAAATTAGTCATGCGTGGTTCAAATTCTCAATTTTTAAGTGTCTTTTGATTCGATGGCATTCCAACTCACTTTACGACGATCGTCCTCCACGTTGTAGTTTCTCGCGTAAGTCTTGGAATTCGTCCCTGTGTGCCGATGGTCTCCGCCTGGAACGGGTGACGAGTTACAGTAGCCTGAGCAAGCGAGTTTGTTTACACACATGTAAGGCAACAATCGAGCATAATAATATTCATTAACAACCTTTTTTCTTCCTTTCGTCCATTTTTGCATTCTCATCGTCGAGTTCCGGAGCTACCTCACCGGGCGGTAAGAAGCCGGGTTTGCCGACGTTTCGTCGCGATTATTATCACCTTCAAGGAACAGTCAGGCTTCTTTTGGAAAAGGATAGGTGAGTTTCAGAAAAAACCTCTCCTGGGACTTATTCCATTCAGATGGGGTGTTTCTGACCCTATGAATTTTCCGATTTTCTTTTCGAATTTTCAGACGTCAGAATCCCCCAACTATTTGATTCCATGCCTGACCGATCCTCAAACTCAGAAACACAAATAGCCAAAACCGAAACCAAGACACCGAAGGCATGATTAATTGCAAACGTGCAATTGTCAGTGTTTGCCGAAAATTAGATTCCCAGAAAGGTGTAAGCTTAGACAACGGAGACAAGATGTTGTGCAGCGAGAGAGAAAGCGGAAACCAAGGCAAAGCTTAGGGTTACCCTGACCAGTTTGTACGAACATCTTTGGGTAACTACTTACCTCCATGGAATGTTCTCGTCCTGGTGAAAGAAGTACTGGACTCTTTGTGCCTGGTTTTGTACGACGCGGTGATAAGCCGGCTGGAGATGGCGTTCTTGGCCTATAATAATGGGGTTATTCACCTCACCAACAAACGGTGGAAGAGGTAAGGGTGTCGCTAGGTAACGAACTGCCCGTTACAAGCATTGGCTCCTGCTTAGGTCAGTCGAGCCTTGTATACCTTCATAGCTGGGTAGCTGGTATCCAGCTTATACCTATGGACAGAGATACCGATCTGAAGACTAACAGCCCCCCCCCCCACAGGAAATGGCGCCCAGTCTGATTAAAGATTTCTGACCGAATGTCGAGTTCATGGCGCATCAAAACTGCTTCATCTATAGCTAACTATTTGATACATAATTATGTTGCCTGAACACATGGCGTACCGAGTAAGTGGGAATCGCAGCAAATCGAATCAGGTCTTTTTTCCGGTAAAAAAGCGATCAATCACATAAAATAGATAAATGTAATGGTGAAAATGTGGTTCAAAAAGGACAAGTACGGGCTGAGGCTTGAGGTGGGAGCAGGGAGGGGAGGGGAGGGAAAGTTGATGCTGAAACAAATTAAAAT